TTCTTCGCTTCTACATGTAATGGGACCAAGGTTCGATACCAGGTACGTAACGTTGGTACTGCGCGTAGGACGTAGACACGTGCGGATGGCTCATCTGCGTGCTCGTGTGCGAGTAATGTGGATTATGGGAAGAGGATATGTATTGCATAGGAGGAAGCGGCGGTTGAAGCTCGTGGTATCTGACGATGTCCGTCTGCGCTCTGTCTTCCCAAGACGTCTCGGCAGTGATCGGCTGTTCCGAGCAGTGTCGCTTGTTCGGTCTCTCCATCTCCTCCTCGTATCTGAAAAACATCGCGTTTCAGCGATGTTAAAACCGGCTCGGCCCTCTCGATTCAAGTCCCGTACAAACTTCCGACAGTTTTGCCACGCGAATAATGATGAAATTTTAGGCTGTCCTTCATTTTTAAGAGAATTTTCACATAAAAGAGAGTAAATTACGAATGTGCGAAAATTACTTGTCAAATTAAATCATAGTGCAAATTAAAAGTTAATCTAGGGTTTAATATATTTTTATTATATCTAAATATATATATATAGTGATTGCATCGTTCACTAATTCATCTCGTATGGCGTAGAATCCGTTACCTGTTGAATATCCATTGAGAAGAGGTAGTCGTCGGCGCGGCTACGTGCACCGACGGCACTTGAGGCCGAAGATACTGGTCCAGCTCGTTGTTCTCGACCTCGCATTCTTGGAGGTTCAACGGAAGGTTCAAACCAACGCCGGCTAGAGATCCGAGACCGTTCAATTGACCCTCCTCGATTGACAGGCCATCCCCAACCTCGATGTACCTGAAGTCGACTCCTGGTTGATGTTGATGCGGTGACTCGCTCGACGAACCGATCGCCAAGTCTTGCTGATACATCGTGCTGTTTGGCTGCGGTTGATTTCCCTGCGAATCAAATCCCCCTTTTCTCGTCCCAGTTTCCATCCATTTTTACACCTTTCGCACTTCGGGCGAAAATATCCAAATTTCACCTCACATCCGGTCGGATCGTCGGTGTTTCTCGAGAGCTCACCAGCCCGAAGTGTGCATTTTTCGAAATATCCTTACCTGATTCGCGTAATGTTGTCCACGAGGAGTAGTGGGAGGAGTGGGAGGCGACAACCCTTGATTAGGAGTGGTCGGTGGTGAGGAACTGACCCCGCTCTGAGGCGAGTTCGGTCCCTGTGTGCCCCTAGGACTCGCGTCCTCCTGCTTCAACGACCTGGAAACGTTGAATGTTACGTTGCTTTGGTTCCTCGACGGCGATCCCTCTCTGCCCGACGGCCCGTTTTGCTTCCGACGACGAGGCTGATACTTGTAGTCCGGATGCTCGCGTTTGTGGATCACGCGGAGACGATCGGCCTCCTCGATAAATGGTTTCTTGTCGCTGTCCGACAGCAGCCTGCGATCAGACGATCAGAAAAATTACTTTAAAGAGATTAGAGAAAATCGACGGGGATCTCGCGTCGATTTCATTTCGATCACGGTTCACACGAGTGCGCGCGCGTTCTATTCGATTCTTCGCGTACGCGGCTCGAAAGAGGCTGGAACGAAAAGCGTTTCTATCACCATGCGTAATACACTCGAGGAGTCGAAATGGGAGGTCTGGTTAATGTTTCTCGCCGCGTAGAATCTTAAGGGCGCAGTTCACGCACACACGCGTGCACGAAGAGTATGCGAGGAGAACTCGAGCGATTCACGTTCGACTGGATCGCGACTCGAATCTCGTCTCGTTCCGTCTCGTCTCGTTTCGTCTCGTCTCATCCAGCACCGTCTCGTCTCGTTTCGTGTTAGTCTTTAATTCCTCGTGTTTATGTTCCCACTGGGGCTCGTAAAGCCCCAAGACCGATAAGCTTTTCCGGTCTCGGCTGCGAGATCTCCTGGATTCTAGCCGCGATTCCACGCTCTTCCCTCCTCTCCGCGTCCTTTTCGTATCAAATTTGAAAGTGACCGAACGAGAGATTAAAATGTCATTTTCCGAATCCTCCCAGAAATTTGCATAATTACGAATTTCGAAGATTTTGGAATTTAAATTCATTTTCCAAGTCTTCGATAAAGAAATGGAGAAAATTTACAATAACCATGATCGCCAAGGCTCTTCCTCTCTTTGTCGGAAAGCGAACGGACATTAGGTAAATAGATTGACAAATGGCGAGTTAACTCGTCTTCCCCCAAATAACGAGCCGTATCACCGTCACTGGGAAAGAGAGAAAAGAGAATCTCCATCTGGTCAATGGACTTTGCCTTGGAGGGTTTTTTTTTTTTTTTTTTTTTTTTTAGTTGGCAGGGCTTGACGACGGCGATCCGTCGCAGCCTCTCTTTTTTTCTTTGCCAGATGCAACACGCGGTTAGCTAATTCGGATCTCTCTCTCTTTCTCTCGCCGTGCGATTATACACGTATCATCAGCGGTGCATCATACCGATATGTGTATCTGACAGCGTAACGTAAACATCGCGATGAAACGGAGTCGCGGTCACGTCTATGACCACGACGACGACGACGACG